CTGTGGCCTCCCCACCCCCCACCCCGCCCCCGGGCTGGGGACCCCGAGGTCACCGAGGTCACCGTGGCATGTTTGTAACTGTGCACCGCTGCCTGTCCCGGCCTCGTGTGCAGGGGCGCTGCCGGCTGCCAGCTCAGCACGGGGCCCGCAGAAGCGCGTTACCTTTGGGGCTGGGTTGCACCGAGTGCAGTTTTGCAATAAGTCCAGACGCTGAAACACGTTAGATTAATTCTACACAAAGAATCCGAGCATGGGGAATTCTTAGGTGAAACAGGCCCGTATTCACTGTCAATTGCAAAACCACCCACTGCATCCAAGAAACAGGAACATTCGCCCTGGCCTGGTGGGTCAGTGGTTGGAGGGTCCTGCCTCGGACCCAGGATTGCCGGTGGAGTCCTAGTCAGGGCGCACACCAGGTGGTGGGTTGGGTTCCCCCTGGGGGCATACAGGAAGCAACCAACCAATGTTTCTCTCCCCCTTCCTCTCTCTCTCTCTCTCTCAAAATCAGTAAAAACATATCCTTGGGTAAGGATTTTTAAAAAAACAAACAGAAAAATTAACACTGGGTGAGTAGGCTGGTAAGTTTACATTCAGGAAGTTGAACACGCTCATCTCCCACGATCCCAGACCTTGACCCATTTATCTGACAAATGGAGGTGTTGAAAGCAGGATCTGCAGAGCTCCAGCCTCGTTACTGCTGTGATCCCTGGCAAGTTCAATAACTCTTGTGCATCAATTTTCTCATCTATAAAATAAAAGCAAAAACAAATTGTGAGGATTAAACCAGGAAACACAAGTAATGAATATAGAACAGAGTAAATACTAAATAAATCTTAACTTTTGATGTTTGAGTGCTTCCTCTTGGGTCAGGCACCGGTCTAGCTCCCGGACACCTGGGTACCCGCACCGCCCTCTGGATCCCGGATCCCAGGAGCAGCCCTTCCTCACGCCTCCCAGGATAACTGGGAAGAACAACCACTCCGTGGCTGATGCCCAGGGACCATGCGGACAGACCTAGGAGCCTGCCCACGTCACTGACCACTGTCACTTCCGATGCGGGAAGAGTCTAGACCAGCCGTGGGCAAACTACGGCCCGCGGGCCGGATCCGGCCCGTTTGAAATGAATAAAACTAAAAAAAAAAAAGACCTTACCCTTTTATGTAATGATGTTTACTTTGAATTTATATTAGTTCACACAAAC